AGCTATCAGTTTATGAACACTACAATTTTACATGGAAAGCGTGTATTGATTACCGCCGGGCCAACACGCGAAGCCATTGATCCCGTCCGATACATCAGCAATCATTCCTCCGGGAAAATGGGTTATGCGATCGCGGAGCAGTTTTTGAATCTCGGCGCGATCGTTACGCTGATTTCTGGCCCGGTAAACCTGACGCTTGACCATCCTTGTCTGAATATTGTTTCCATAACAACTGCGGGAGAAATGTACCTGGCTTGCTGCCAGCATTTTGAAGAAGCAGATATTGTAGTCTTTTCGGCCGCTGTCGCCGATTACCGGCCCGCTAAAGTGGCCAGGCAAAAAATAAAGAAAGACGATGAATCATTTTCCTTCCAAATGGTAAAGAATATTGATATCGCCTTTGAATTCGGGAAAGTAAAACAGAACGATCAGCTGTCAATAGGGTTTGCCCTGGAAACCTGCGATGAATACACTCATGCCATAAAGAAAATGGAGAAGAAAAATTTTGACCTCGTTATCCTGAACTCGATGAACGATGACCAGGCCGGGTTTGGGTTCGATACCAACCGCATCACAACTATCAGTCGTGATCATTCGAAAAAAGTATTTCCATTGAAATCAAAAAAAGCTGTTGCCCGGGATATCGTCAGCGAAACCGTCAGCTTGTTAATCAGCCGTTATGAGATGAACGAAATTGCCAGTTTTGACTAAATTCACGAATGCTGAAGAGCGTTGCTACCTTTTTTCTCCTTGTTTTTACATGTTCACTAATCAGTCAAGGGCAAATGCCTGTTGCCCGTTTTCATCCCGACAGTTTAGATGTTGCCTCGTTGACGAAACTGAAGCAACAATTCGGGTACAAAAAAGGAATTCCAGGGAAGTACGAAAAGCAAGTACTGGTGGCACTGTCGTTTTACCCGGAACTTGCAAAGACTCCTATTGTTTTCAGGGTTAGATCAAGACATGCCATTGCTGTTACCAGGTCAACATGGCCCGGCATCGTTCGTAGTTCATCACGCAGGCCTTATGTTATCACGATCAGTGATAGTACTGAATCGTTGCTCAGCCCACTTTTGTTTCATCATTTATCTTTTAATGCGCAAATCGGTGTGATTGGTCACGAACTCGCACACGTCACCCAGTACTCGCGGAAGAGTACGCGTGAGCTTGTCCTGTATGCTGCAGGTAATTTATC